AGAAATATGCGAGCATCTTCACACAAATGAAGTAACAGCTCACCGTTATCATTACGGGAGCCTATACCATGTTGGCCGCCCAGATGCAGCTCATCTGTGGATACTTTTCCAAATTGAACGTTCAGATCCCCAGCCAGCACTACAGTGTCTAAGCTTCTTCTGTGGCTAAGGAGCTCGTTCAGTTGATGATAGAAGTCGTCTTTTACCGAGTCATCGCTACAGTTTGTCGGTGCATAGGCAGCGATAACGAATAGACACCTGTTAGTCCCACGCGATTTCGAAGCTTTGAAAGAGCCAGCCAATCGGACCGCACACATTCGGCTACTGATTGGAATCCAGTCAACCAGGGCAGCGTCAGCACGTGGACTCAGGGCAATATCAACACCAGCTTGGCCGGTGCTCGAAGCAGCATCGTCACCGGATCGCAGAGTGAGTACACAGCTCGAGTCTTGCAAGCGGGTCTCCGATAAGCAGCAGATATCGATCGATAGGGTCTCTAATGTTCGGAGAAGTGCTGCCTGTTGATCGATCTGAAGCAATATGCGAACATTGAGGCATGTCAATCTGAAGGAGGATCGAGGGCTCCAAATGGAAGCCGATGAACTGGACTTGACCGCTTGCTTGGACAATGGCCTGTTGACAATGAAGAATGACGCTCCGCGTTCACATGTGACTTTAAACTAAAAGACAAGCGACTATGGAAGCAAGGTGGGGGAGGACCGAGAATTGGGGGGTTGAAATCAGGGGGATAAAAGTGAAGCTAGAACGGGACGGTAAGTGTGAAAAGCACAAGAGGGGAATAGGAAGACGGGAAGGCTTGAGCAGTAGCATCCAAACCCCTATCCACCCTGCCCGATGCAGCAGATAGGGCACCGTTGATTATCCTCTGCGGTGGACAGAGCATCAGAAATTTGCTTGAAGAGAAATTCATTGTATTGCGTGAGCAGGACACTGTCAGGTTGACCAGGACTAGACAGGAGAACGATTAGGGTTCTCAACCAAAGCCTTTGGTTCAAAAACCTGTCCGCAAGGCAGCGGGTTTGGCATTGGGCTACAAGGAGTCCGTTTTAAGGAATAAGGAGCCACCCTCATTCCAACTCCCAACCTGGAGGACCATGAGGTTGAGTTTGTCTGGCCTCTAACCATTGACCAATCTGGTATGAGTGACTCTGAAGGTGCAAAAAATGCACCACCCAGTATAGCTCAATGAATCACTGAGGCACACAAACCATCGCACCACGGTAAGGTCCAGCCTCATTGCGATGGACCCAATACTCCTGAACACCAATAGAAAATTATAACATTGCACAACAGAAACGCAACGAGCTTGTTAAAATTGTGGTGCGTGGCATTTTCTTTGAAACTGCCTGTTCATTCGTCAGTATTGCACCATCTGCCACAAAAAAGCCACAGAGAATCACATAGCTGATCGGCAATCCGATGTTCTTATTGTGGACATAGGTCACAGCCGTATCAGTAACACAGCATCAGATGGCTGTCTTTTGTGGTTTATGCCACTGCAAAGGACGGATATTGTTCACTTCCTAAACTTATCACTGGTGAAGTCAATGGTCACTCCGTGCGTCTGCAGCTGTATACCTCCTCTGACAATACATTCTCGCAAGCCCGAGATGGTCGGCTATCGCTAAAATGATACTACGTAATACAGAAAATATTGCAAAGGGTATACGGTAAGTTTTCTTGTGCATTTGTTTACAGAAACGATCATCAAACTGTATGCTGTCACGTTTCTGAACATTGAACAATAGGACAATGGTATAGTAGAGGTAAATAGCCTTTGCATAACTTCCTGTAGGATGGACAGAATGAAAAACACAACGTGGTGAATAGAAGTCAAAGTGACAAGCTAAAAATTGTTTTGATGGACTCACCAGACTGTTTACACAGAGGTACGCTGAAAGAGCCAACCTCTTTCGTGTGGGTTAGTTGTGGTGGTGCAGCGTTCGTTCGATTTTATTCTCCTTCTAGATTCACAGGCTATATGTCGTAATGTTGGTGGATTAGGGCAATGTCAAGCCTCTTTTCAAACACAGGTAAAGTGGGGGCGGAAACAACATAATCTTGGAGGGCTTTCCATGTTTGTCACACACGAAGAGCGTAAACGTTTCGCCGAAACAATTGCCGACTGTATTTTTTAACCGAATTAAGTTGGTGGCCCCTACATTTCTTGTTTTGATTGGGTTGTAATAGATGATGATAGATGTGATTGGGATTCCTCAAAATCTGATAGGTCGTTATTAGAGCTTTACGTAGGCGCCGATAATGGCCACTGTAAAATTTTATAGTTCTCAGCCTAAAATAATAAGGAAGATAGAAAAACCCATCGATCTGCTTGTGGCTCTTCGCTGTGGAGTATCCATCGAGGTGATATATTTCGTTTGTCAGGGCTGCCAGGCATGGATTTAACATTCCACATGAGACCGCACGTATGTGTTTAGCAAATGCAAACACACAGAGTGATGCAACTGCCAAAGTTCCCTGCGCAGGATGCGAGCATGTTGGTTTTCAGTCTTTGTGGTCGTCTCAGATCGTTCTGAGTAGCGCGAATCAGTCTGGATTAATACCACAAGGAGGTGCTCATGATTGACTGCTTATAGGACGTGGTCTCTAAGCCTGCATGTGACATTCGGCTGGTGACGGTTGTGGACCACTTTACACTTAGACGAATTAAACTGAATCACCCTGTGGAGTGACCATCCATAAGCCAAGTCCAGGTCTCGCTGACGTGCATCGTGATTTCCTTGTTCGGCGATCGCCCGCCGCATATAATTGGTATATTCTCAACTAGGTGAGCACGGCC